GGAGGAGGAGGAGGAGGAGGAGGAGGAGGAGGAGGAAAGATATCAAACGTTGACGTAATTTATCCATCCAACGAAACACAAAGGAGCCTTAACGCAGTCCCGCTGGATCAGCATAGCTCATCTGATGGGAACATGTTGGCCTCGACTCTTTCACGTAAGGCAACCAAACTTCTAAACTGTCTACTCACTATTCAACCTCACAGCACATCGCCTCATCTGTGCGGGTGGTGAACACTTTATGGTCAAATAATTCATCTTGCGGTGCTTGAATGTCTAAACGACAACTCCGCTCCTCCCGAAGGCACAGCTAAGACAGCACACCCAATCAATCCACTGGAGCAAGTCGTTCATGGAGCTCTGATTTTGATTTGCAAGTGTGTGGCGACCACCTCCTTCCTTTCTTGTTTGGTTAGTGTTTTTTTTTTGCCGAATGGGCGTCCAGTGGGACGAGACAGACCCTGCGTGGGCTTTCAAGATGACTTGAACCCGTGGTTGAGCTCTTACAGGCGCACATCTCGGTGTCGGTTAGCGTGACGATCCAAAGTGCCACCTTTGTAGCACTTCCCTTACCAAGTTGCTACTCACAAATTCACTCTGCCTTGTTTCATCTGGTTGGCAGTATTTGACTGCCACTTAAAGTTCGAATAGTCAAAGAAAGACGATTTGAAAGGCATTATTTTTAGGGATGGTGATGTCTGCGGCTACCCTCGGAGTCCTTGAACCAAGACTTTGCGTAGCTCCTGAGCATGCTCAGTCATTTTTTTTCCTTTTGACTTCCCGAGACTTCTCATTTGGTGGTGGAAGACACACGGAATTGCCCGAATACTTGAGCCACTGTCGGTTTAAGACATTTTTTTCTGAGTTCTTTCAGACGAGGATTCTCTCTGTATGGACTTATTCAACATTTCAATGGGTTACAAGTGGGAGGGATTGAATGGTTCAAGCACTGCAGTTGAGTTCAGTTTCCATCTCTCACCGCTAGACAAGACTTTAAACACAGTGAGGACTGCAGTAAAAATTGCAGCTGTAACCCGACGTGCAGAAACAAAACAGCCTTTCAAATGTCCACCGATTCATAGAGGATGCAAAGTAAAACAAAACTACAACAATAGTTTTCAAAGTGAGTTGAAATAGTGGGATAAAAAATGCCAGTTTTGAGGAAAATGGAGCAATTTTGCGCACACCTGTGAAATGTGGCATGTTCACCTTCCTCTTGACGGTGTGAGCCGGTCGAAGGATTGAGTCGAGGCTCAACCTCTTCTCCCTAACCTTTGTGCGGATGAAGTGTGCATCCCTCGGAGGGGCGAATTACTAGCTCCTCTACACCAAAAAAGGTTGAGAACGACGTCAAAGTTTGTCATTCGCGTTACTCCGCGTTTCACTGGCAAGTTGGCACCGCCATGAATCAGAGCGGGAGCATCGTTTTTGGAGGACCAGTTATCGAAGTTAGTGCATAAGCATTGACAATGACACTGTGTTGAATTCTCTTCCACTCTGGACTGTAAATGATGGCATTTCATATGGGTGCTTCGTTACCTATTCGACGCCTTCGCTCCGACTCCTGGTTGCGGACCGAACGTGACAGTTGATCCAGTTGAAGCTGCTGAGAGGAGTGAGTACAATTTCATCCACCTTACAGCAACCAATGACTGGCACGACTGCCTCGTGGATGCTTCTTTGTGTCTCTGACCGCGCCGTGATCGCTGGCTCGACGGATGATCCAAGGCCAGTGCCGAGGACGTTGTTCCAGAGAGGAGAGTGGCAATACAACCCTTTGTTTATGTGACCATCTGATGTGCAGCGGTTACTTTGACCTTGGTCTGGCTCCTGTTTGCATGGACAAACCTTCGAGTCAAGCCAAAGCTCAATCCCTTCTTCTCCTCCTCGAATACGTGTATTTAGTCAAACTTAATGCCTTTTCCTATCCAGTGGGAAGTCTGGAGGCGCTACAGAATGTTTCATCAGTTTCTTCAAACAAACAATGCTAAACGATTGCCGAGTTCTCTCCACCGAGGCGTCTCCAGTGCTGCAATACAGCAGACGCAGGACCTGCAATGCTCGTATTAGCCGTTTATTAATACCGAAGAGTGTTTCCTTGACACTTATTGTAACGCCCTGCAGCTTCCAATTTTGGAAGTAGAAGGCAGTAAATAGGACTGAGAAGATGAGAGAAGGCAAAAGTCTGAACTTCGGCTCGGTCTCCACGGACTGGCCCATACGGCCAAGAGGGCGCTGAATGCCAGAATCGTTGCATGAAAGGCGTCAGCAGGAGATGATGCAGTGCTTTAGTAGCGTCCCGAGGCTTCCCATAGGGTGGAAGAAGGCATAAGTGAGGTTAAAATACATGCATTCCGGAGCCTGAAAGGTCTACTTTAAGATGACTGTTGCATAAATGGCGCAAAAAATGCAACATTTTGTTGTATTAATCAAGGGACAAATTTACAAGAAGCTTCACAAAAACCCAATGCCTCAGACCGCTGTACATTCGCGGAGCTAAAATTAAAATGATTTTAAAATTAGCATGCTAAAATTGTTTCACTTTACAGAGTTTCATTAAATATTAATCACTGCTGTTATGGAGTCATGGAGGCTGTCAGGCCCCCAGCGCGTGCAACAGACCGACGCCAGCATTTTATCCTTCCCTAGGCAGAGGAAATACAATTTTGTAGATCCAAATTCTTTTAGAATGCCTCAAAATCCACGGTCTTCGAGATTAATCCTAGACGCATTGAATGAATTTATGCTATTGACTGCAAAAATATGTGGAAAATATGTCGTCTTTTCGATGCAACACTCAATGATAAATATGGAGAGACAATGTTGTTACAAATGAAAAAAACTAATAACGATTCTGATCGGAGTAGTGTGGCAAGGTATTGGCGAATCTCGAGACTTCGCATTTGGTAGAAGAAGCAGAATGGGTTTTGACTTTGCTTGAAAGTCCGGCTCAAGCAAACAGGATTAAGATAAAAGTTAGAGTTGCCGCTATTTGTATAGGTAGTAAAATAAACAACACAAAACAATACAACACATCTACTTGTGTCCATCCCCGTTTTAAGTTATACCTCATTTGGCCATACCAAATAAACCCTTTGAAAGTACCCCCTTCATAAGCACTCTGTCTACTTCAAAGAACCAAGTATGAACATGATAGGAGACTAACAAAACACGGCAAGCAATTTTCTGCCCACTTTACATTGCGACATCGATCTAATGCAATAGATATCTCCGTGAGACCACGTTTGATGGCGATGGGGACGTTTTGGTGGAGCTCGCATAAACAACAATCAACGTAATATTAATAACGTATGATCAAAGCTCAAGAGATTCAAAGTGATTTTACGCAAAAAAGTTCCTCCTGTTTTATGTGAAGGCGCCAGACCCAATCAACTTGTCCTAATTAAAAAAATTTTAGTCATGGCATTGAACTTGCTGTACCTACAAATGTCTATTAAATAAATTATGTGAATTTTGCATGGGATTGAGCATAAAGATTTGGCTAAATGTTGATATAAAAGTAAATATTTTGTTGCAGGAGAAAAATATTTGTTTTAAAAATTGAGAAATGCAAAGGCCGTTGTGGGCGGGTTTTACGAAATCTCGGACGAAAAATTGATCGTATTTATTGTTTCCTTTCATGTTTGACTCCGTATTAAATGAAGTTGTGACTCGCGAGTATCAACCTCGAAATCGATATACGTTTTCGCGTCGTAAGTTTGTACCTTACCGTCGACCTTTTCTAAGGCAAATGTATTCCTCTCATTGGCGTTAGCAACCTTGAATGTCGCAAAAGCCAAGCATTTCACTTGCATTCCTCCATCGATATCGTTTCACCTCCTTTTGACTGTGATTTTTCACCTCGTGAGTTACGAATCTGGCCATAGCACATTTGCTTATAGGTGCTCCTAATCTGTTGCTTGTCGCTAAGGAAGACGGCTTGGTGCATCTCTTCGACACCGAGCAACATGGATCTGAAAGTCTTCTGAGATGTTGGTCTTTTTATTCTAATGTTTGATTTCTTTAGATTATGGAGTTCATGATAACGCCATTTTCAGTGTGAGATGGGTCACACGTACTAATTATTTCCTCACTGCCTCTGGCGATCAAACTATTAAATTAGTTGACTCCGAAACTGGTTCAGTTGTTAGTGTCTACGTGGGGCACACTATGTCCGTCCGTTCTCTTGCCCTTTCTCCTTCCGATCACTGTAATTTCTCGCCATTTCGAACCCATTTCGTCAGATATTTTCGCTTCTGCCTCTAGAGATGGTTCGATTCGCCTTTGGGATATGAGGTCAAAGAGTCTTGAAGGTGTAGGTTGCTCGGTTCACATCCATGGATGCCATCTTCCTTCAGTCGGGTTATCCTCCCGTCGTTCTGGGTCAAAATCACGAAAATCTATGGTTCGTTTGATCGTCTGTTTGTCTACTTCTAGACTGATTCGCAAAGTGTTACCTCTGTTGTCTTTGCTGGGGGGTTTCACCTAGTCTCCGCCGGTTCTACCGATGGGTACGTCCTACACTTTTCACTCTATTTTTTTCCAGTGCAATTAAGATATGGGATATGCGGAAAGCTTCGTCTAGTAAAAAGCAGCCCCAACCCATAACTTCCCTTCCTTATCATGGAATGTCTCGGAAACAATGTGGTGAGTTGAGGCTATTTGAAATCGCCGAAATATTGCACCTCTGGTAAGGCGTCTTTCTATGGTTACTAGGCTACTCGGATCTGGTTCTGGATTCTGACCGAAGACGACTGTATGCCAGTTGTCTAGATCATGCTGTCTATGAGTATGACCTTACTTCTCCCTCGACTAGGCCGAGTAAGTTATAGAACCCATTCTCATTTCAGTTTCCTTGTAAAAATACATGAAATTTGGAAGTTTAGTTGCACTTAGAAATGTTCAGTCGAACTGTCATTGGTGCTTCTCGTCTAGTTCCGTCTTGATTATCGACTACGTCTCTGCATAACTTACGAGTTATCTGGGTTGAAGGCTAGTTACCTGTACCGGATGATTTTTTCTAGTCTTCGTCTAGGTTGGTGAGTCTTTCTTGATTTGCAGCGTCTGACGGTTCAAGTGGCGAGCAGTTTCCTTCGAAGTTTTGGTTGTAAAGTTTTGCATACTTACTGCGTAAACTTATAGTAATTTTGGATAAGCTACTTCCACAAGCACCGCTTGTGTCTAGCGGTTCTAGTGACCTATTTCTGTTACTGTTTACTGGTGCACTGCAATCGGATCATTTCCCCTTCGAGGAAGAAGTTTAAAGAGCAAATGTTTTTGGGAAGCATAAATTTTTTTTCAACTTACTCTGAACTTGTGAAGGGTGCATTTATATTGCTTTTTTCTGGAGGGGCGAGGGAAATTTTTCTAACTGTCCAGGTTCTAAGTTTTTGGCGCCTCTCACCACTTTTACCTTGTCTTCTAAAATTCTATTAGCACATACAAGTGCTTGCAATGCGTAATGTTTTTTGTAAACAAATTTTTTTAGATTCGATGTAAAATTAAGGTCGTAGAAATTCGTCAAATTCATTAAGCTTCACAGGATTCACAGTTTGGGTGACCTAGACAAATTTGTCACTTCACTGCAGCACCTTGGGGACTCTGTGGCTGTACGCTTATTCGGCATGTGGAGGAATCACGTATCCAAATGTTTATTGCGTGGAAACCCTTTTGATAAGATCTCATTGATCCCGATTTTCGATCCATCCGAATGGGCTTTCTTTTTTTTAAACATTTCGCACTTCATAGGGTTTTTGTCCTTTAAGTCCATTCTCTGTTCTTTATTTAACTTTTAACTGATGTTAAGAAAACAAATAATTTGAATACAAAGCCGCGTCTGTCGCATTTCTGTTGTAACGTTGATTGTATATATTAACAAACCATTATCGCTGCTGCGACTGGCTTGTTTTCAATCAGTCCTTTTTGTCTAAAGTGATTAAAATCATAATTTGATCGGTCCACTCTCATCTTCATTGAAGTTCAGTTCAGTCCGCTTCCTCTTTTAGTTCTCCTCTATACCGGCCACCTTGCAGGATCCTTCTATATCAAGCTAAGTCTCAGTCCGGACAATGCTTACTTGGCCTGTGGCAGTGCCGACAGTCGGGCTTACATCTATCGAGTGGGTGCGCGCACCCAACTACCCTTTATTCTCTCCGGCCACTCTGGAGAGGTCTCAGTGCCACGTTGGTCATTCCATGATCCCACTTGCATGGTCACACTGTCGGACACTGCGCAGCTTTTCGTCTGGCGGATGTTTCCTGCTAGGGAGTACACGATGCCGGAGACGGGAGAGTTGATAGGTGAGGTATTACCTGTACTGTGTCTAAATTTAGTGCGTTAGGAGTGCAGTGATCGTAATCGTCATTATCCTGGTTTGTAACTTGTTGAATCTATAGTTGATTGGCATCAGTTTTGTGCACTGCACTTTTTTTGCTTAAACTAAGGAATTGTATGTTTGCCAAGAGGTCGTTATCGCGGCTAATCCAAGAGCTAACCGTGCTGTCCCTTTTGTTAAAGTCTGAGATTTAAATGCGTAAAATGCGTTCGCTCTTTTTATAAATTACTACCTATCATTTACTTTTTAATTTAACTTTTTTGCACAATTGTTTTCCATGGGAGTTCCCCATATGTTGTAAAATTTGTCGTAACTTGGTATTTCATTGTGGTTGCCTTAAATTATTCCTCTGTTCCACTCGTTTTTGCACTCGAAATCATTATTCTTCATATTGGGATTGGTTGATGTAGACTTCAAGTTAAGCTGTGAATTTGCAGTCTACATCCTTTGGTCAAGGTGAGGCGTTCTTTCGAAAGCGATGTGATTGAAGTTGGTTGGTTTGGAATAGTTCGAAATTTTACTCTGAATGCTGCAGAGGGCGAATCTGTGATCTATCCGTAACTACAGCCATTACACTCATATCAGCCAATCCCAAAAGCTACCTTTATTTTTGGGGATCCTTGCATTCTGGAGCTTTACTCCCACTCAAACTTCAATGAAAGTAGAATGACCAGGGTTTTGCTCTTTATAGTTTCCTTCTATTAGAACGGTTTATAGCTGCTTCTTAACTGCCATCATTAAGTATTCACTTTGTAGAAAAAAAGAGCTTGATGTTGATTCAAGTGAGTTGTTTTTTTGTGTTGGAAACGTGTTTGCATTTTCTGAAGCAATTGTAAGATGGGTATGCCCGCATGATCGCCGCCTGCACATTGGGGTAACAAAATTTCGAAATTTCATACTATTTAAAGGGAACTACTGGCAAAGACCCGATGTCTGGTATGACTTACGGGTGGGGTTCGTGGTGTTGTGGGCGATTTGGACTGTGTTTTGTGGGAATGGATTTTTCCAATCGACTAGTTATGATAGTGTATAAGTGAGTTTTACACATCCACTTGTACAGCTTTATTTTGTGTGATGATCTGGACTTTCAGTGAGTGAAAGGTTGTGTCATCGAGTCACGCCTATCGTGGGAAGGTTGAGCGGTTAATAGTTGTTCGGTCGCTTGACGTTGATAGTAGGAGAGTTTTTTACAATAACAGGTGAATTTCTTCGCCTTCTGCATACCTGTTACGCTTATTTAAGTTTTGCGATGTGTAATGGCTGCCGCACATTAACACCATGTATTAACGTCATCTCAGTGAAGCTCTGCGTTCCGCTAGACTCATCTATGACTCACTGCAGGGGTCATAACCCTCGGTCACGTTTCAGCTGCTCGTTTGAAACGTTTTGAACGCCTTAGCACATCAATTTTGGCCCACCAATCGTCATTTGTCGGCTTTTTTTCTCTGTGCAGCTGTGTTGATTCGCTCCATTGTGACGAAACCTAAAGTAGTACAATTTGATCTTGAGTAGCATGTTAACAACACCCAACAGGTTGGAAATCAATGAACGCGAACTAAAACACACTTTTGAAAATTGGCTGTCGTGTGTTGTTAATACCAAAGAGATTGTGTATTTATAAGCGATGGACGTAGGCGTTGAAAGTCCGACAATCTTCAAAAGTCAATATTGGAAGGCTGCCTGCATTTCAAGCCTTCTTCTTGGGCAATTTTAGGCTTGACTGAGTGCCTCTCCCAACCCACGATCACTGCCGATCATCAGAGAAGTCTCCTGGCCTCCGCTTCGGCACGTTCTACAACAGCCTCATTCACAACAAAGCCTTCGTCAGTCCCCTCGAAATCCTATGGTGACGCTTTTGACTCATCCTCTCTTCTGGCTAGACGCAGAAGACAGTTAAATATTCGGGACTTCTTAATGAATTTGCCGCAAACTAATGAAGTTAGTGGCCTCCACCTTATCAACATTAACAGTGACGGTAGCGACAACACACGTTCTTCCATTCCCTCCTCGACTACAGCTGAAAGGTCGGTTACTGCATTGCGAGTAGTCTTTTTTTGGTTGCTTTATGAAGTAAAGGTATAGCGTTCTTGGACTTTCATACCTCTTGCTCTCGATTCTCGCCTCTCCCCTTATGCTTGGTGTTGTGTTGATGCCCATGGCTACACTATCACCTTCAATGCTTTACTTGCTACTTCAGCCCCTTCTTCACTAGCATCAGCGGCCTTTTTAACGAGTGTTCTCCCAGCCAATTTTGAGTGGATGCGTTGAAAAGGGAATTTGTGTAATCACAAATGTACTGGTGACTAATCATCTGCAGTTTAGAGGTGGCTCTGCAAAGCAGCTTGGTATTTGACTCGCCGCGTTTCCTTCCCTACAACCTCTCTAGGCGTTCTTGTAAAATGCATGCATCGTAGACCATCTGTATCAGTTGATTGGCATGACAGTGTAGTGTATTGTAATTCGAACCTGATACATGTTTGTTCAGGCCCACTTGTCTTGCACATGAGGCTTACCTTGCTTCCAAGACTCCATAAATCTCTCAAAAGCATTGTATAACAGTTACGAAGGGCAAAACGGGATTGGAAGGGCATATTTCCTGGTTTTGATGATGCTAAAAGTCTTCCTTTGCTGTTGCTCTTTCTGCAGCAATGCAGCAACAGGCGCGACACCACAAACGAGGCGCGCCCCTCTTGTCTCAGGCTCACGAATTGTTGATCTCCATCCCCCACCCCAATCTGTCAATGCCGCTACTGTTGCTGTTGGTACTTCGTCCTCATCTCCACCGTCTCCATCGACGTCTTGTGAATGTGCTCGTCCTCCAACCCGCAAGTTTAAAGCTAACATTGAGATTTTATTTTGGACTTAAATATTGTCATCCCTTTATTTGTCCCATTTTCCATTGGTCACTTGACGGAGGGGACAATATCTTTGACCTCAGTAGAAGGCCTGGCCAGACCTCAGTTGAACAAGATCTCGTGTCTTAAGCCAATCTTTCGGTCTTCCAATTTAGGATACTTAAAATTCCTTTGAGACGTAATTCCTCTTTCCACGTTTCCCTTGGTTGACTGAGAAACCAGTTGTCCACCCTATTCAACCGATTTACTACTATTTACAGCCAATTGGGATGAAGAGGATGTTGAGAATAATCCTCCAAGCAACTCTAGCACCTCAACAAGTTCTCATTCGCATCATCGGTGCCTCAAACGTCACTGCATCCATCGTCAACTTGGTCCACCCGAATCCGCTGAGCCAGAGCGGAAGCATTTGCCCCTATCCGACATTACCGAAGCACTGGTGAGTGCTGATGCCTGATTTAAATTTTGTTACTTCTCTGCACTGTTAAGCCACCCTCACCCTAGAGGTGTGATTGAACGGTTTGCAACCTCACTGATGAATCTAAGTCCGAGTAGTGCGGCTCGTCACGTTTTCTCAAACGACACACCTATGTGATTGCAAAAAGCTTGAACCCTTCGCCAACTGCCTATAATCTTCTGTTCACACTATCTCTCATGTCGTTTGCCCAACGAAAATATTTTTTTTTTTGGTACTAGTCGCAGTCGTCGAGGAAACGAACTATGGAGATGGACGATGGCAATGACGAGGAAATGGAAGACCATGAAGGTATCAATGACTCTCAAGCTCCAATGTGGCGCAAGCATTCCACCGATTTCTCCACGCCCTCCTCAGTTGCTACGGCAACTGGAAGTCCTCGAGGCACACCTAGGCGACGCCGCAGAACCATGGCTTCCACAAGCTCTTCCACCAGCACGTTTTCACTCTCGGTAACTTTTTCTGAATTGCATTGTATCGCATGTGTTTGCCTGTCAAAAACGTTCCGTTTTGAGGTCAGCAGAAGCATCCAAAGCCATATTTCCTTTCACGGCTATTGGCCAGGCATGGGCGAAATTTCAACATGGATGGCCCCCTTTTTCGGTTCATTAAATGTACAGTTTGGATGGTGCTAGAACTTGGAATGACAAATTTAAATGCAAAATCATCAAGTCGGTTTTCAACCTGAACTTCTTTTTAATGAGGGAAGACATTTTCATGACCTCAGAGATCTACCTAACTTTAAAGGTTGACTGCAACATCCACTTCCCCACGCAAGTTATTGCCTTCTTTAACTGACCTGCTTTTTTTGTTATTTTAGACGTCGAGGCGCTCGAGACGCAGATCCACGTTGAGACCGGCTATAGTTGCTGCCGGATGCACCTCGATTAGGAATTACTTCAAATCTCCGAAGGAATGAATACTCCCATACAATCTGTGATCCCTTGCTGTCTTCCATCAAAGGTGGTTTTATCGTCATGCAGAATCATATTTATTGTGTATTTTTGTACAACTATTCCTCCCAGAAATTGTACTAAATTTAAATAACATTGCTTCACTTCTTGAAGTGTAGAAGCTGATTTGTAGCCTGTAGAAGGTAGTTGTGTACGAGCGACTTGAATGTGGACATTGTGGTGGGGAGTTAGTTCTGCCAACTTTTCGGCACAAACTCCGTTAAAGGGAATAAGTTTCCAATTGGAAGGGTCTTATCCCCATTTTCACAGACTCCTTTGGGATTTCAAGCCTTACTGCGTGCGATGCGAAGCTTGCGCTTGGCGCTACGAGAGGACGAGAGCGCCGTCGTGGCAACATTCCTTGCAACCTCGTTTCATCAGGCAGCCTACGTTTGTCCAACCCATCGAATTTTATGTCCACTGTTCAGCTCCGGTGTGAAGGAAATTATATACGATTGGTTCAACTTCAAGGGAGTAGTCTGAAGTTTCATGCTGCTTCTCCTTGACACACTGTTGAGACACCAAGCTAGATCAATCCAACATGCCAGATCATGAGGTCTCGTGCAAAAGCCCATTTTCACATCATCCCAAACGGTCCCAGACTGTCTGTTCTCACCAAATTCTTCAAATCTATGAACCCTGAAAGCATATCGCCAACTAGAAGAGGCGTAGAAATGCTCCACAGAAAATCGCTTTTAGTATGAACAACTAAAGGAACACAAGGTACGGTTCGGAGTCTAGGAGATCTGCGCGTCCACCACGGTGGGAGCCTTGATGACGGCATTGGGGCTGTTCTTCAGCTTCCATGGTTCACCCTTGTAGGTGGCTAAGTGGGCGCCGTCCACACGCATATCGGGCTTCACCTGCTCCCACACCTTCTTTTTAGGATTTAGTTGAGCATCCGGTTCGCCTAAAACAAACAACCTGAAATCCATTACTTTAAGAAATACTAACGCACAGAGCAGGAGTGGCACATTCCCGCAGGAAAAGTAATCCTTGCAATGGTAAGTGACGACAAAAAGTGTAAGATTTCGGGGAGGAAATCTCTATTATCACCAAATAAATCCCCATTTTAAGATTTCCCATAGAAATCTCCCTCCTCCCGTCTAGGTTATGCACATTTAGAACGCTTCGACATCTGCATTCACGTCTCCCGCTCCTAAATGGCAAATACTACTCATAAGTAGGTTTGATTTGTCAGTAGTCACCGACACTAGTACTGATCCAAACACGTCTCCATTACGTGCAAGGCTCGCTCATTACTCACTTTAAATCGCAATGAATTGCTGTTAGAAGCTCAACAGAATTCAGTCCCACAAGATGAAGACTGTTAACGACAAAAATTTTCCAAGTCCTCCTTAACGCACAACAATCATCCAGGCGGTTTTGAAGTGTGCACATGGAGGGATTCTATAAGTTCTGGAATAGAAACGAGGCAGGTGCATAATCCTTACTCCAAAGGTAACATCTAGAGTATTAAAGTTCTAAGGTCCGAAATTAATTTTACCATCCATCGGCTCAGCAAACCCTTAAGATGTGCAGTGGGTCTGTCGTGGCCGACGTCTGCCAAAGGCCAGTCTGAATTTAAGGGACACCAACGCAAAATAATTGAGGCCATTTCAAGAAGTTCTAATGAAGTTCCCTACTTTGTCAGCTCTTCAACGAAAGAAAAAAAAGGGCCGAATACTTGCAGAGATGCAAGAGCCCTTTGATTGAAATATGGTCATCAACTCACCAGGATAGCCCTGCACGTAGACTCTGTCACCCAAAGCTACTTCCGTCGGGCTGTCAATAACCAGAGGTTCCACCTTGTTATTTGCATCAGTAGCGCACATCAGCATGCCGCAAGACTCAATGCCGCGCATCTTGACGGGTTTAAGATTGCACATAAAGATGCCCACCAACCCCTGCATCTTCTCCATGGGCACGTGTTGCACGAGACCGCTGACCACGGTGCGAAGGTTGCCTTCACCCAGGTCCACCTTACAGGAGAGAAAAATAAGAACTCATCATACACGGGAGGGGAGAGCACGATGCAATGAATACTCGATGCAGAAGGCCTGGTGTTGCATATACACCTGACGGGAGTGTGAAGGAATGGAGCTCCTTGAAGGATACAAATCATAAAATAACACAGAACTGTATTCACCTAATTGACCTGTCACTCGTCACAAAGCCGCAATGCTTAGTAAATCGGCGAAATGGACTAGGTGCAACGATTAAGGGGAAAGAAACACCCATCCAATGCAGCTCTCAAGGTATGCGACGCTTCAACCCATGAATCAATTTGTCAAGGATGAAGTTACCATAACCGCAGAAGTAAGCACCAGGTGGGATATCTTAAAATCCAGCTGCTGCTTTTCTTTTCAAGGTGTTTTAGAGCGTTCTCTTTGATAACAAAAAATGCGGTTAGTGCCTTGCAGATTCCAATGGCGGAAAATTAAAATATCGATACAACATGAAAAGTTGTCGACAGAAGGGAGGTGCGTTAACCTACTGCTTCGTGTAAAGCAATTTGGGTCTGAGGTTGCAAAAAAGTGATGCACACTTGCATTCAATACGGAACGTTATTTATCGAAACTTAAGGACGTGTGAGCAATGGATCAGCGGTTTTAAGGCAGCCAGAATATAGTTTTCGAAAGGGATAAACCTCGACAATTTCCATTAGTTGACTTTAAATAGCTATGAAGGAGTAAAAACCTTACAAAACGCTCCCGAGTGCCTTATATTCTTGACAACTGAGAACGGCGAATAATGCATGAGAAAATAAAATTGGCGAGAAACTCGTCACGATAGGCGTTGGCCCAAACCGAGTCAAAAGAGGCCCCAAAACCACCAGCAACTAAACCAACAGGCAATTGCTAGGACATAGGCAGCCGGCGTAACCTTTGAAGTAAAATACACTAAGTTGATGAAGCCACTTAAATAGTGGCATTTCATTTTGAATGAGGATCCAACCTACAGTGGAAAAAAGCCACAGAAACGCTTCAACAAACCAGAAATGTGGATGCATTTTGCTGAAACCTAATTACTGGTAAAGGATCAAATTGGAATGTTAAAATTAGCCCAAATCCGAGGCTCTCCATTAGAAAGCAGAATATGCGGACATCTACAAAACGGGGAGACATTTGATGGAGACTTCAAGAAAAGCAGCATAGACTTCCAGAAAACGTCACAAGTGCCCTTATAAAGGTGTGTTTTGTCTATGCTTCCACCACGACGACGAGATACTTGGAAGAAAGGGGAATGAAACTGACCTTCTCCACAAAGAGTGAATCTGCATCAGGATGTTTTTCCACCTCCACGATTTTGCCCACTCGCATATCGAGACGACTGACATTGACGGGCAAATCTGTATCTTTCTTTTCAACTTTGGGTCGAGGTGTTGGTTTAGTGACGGAAGTTGAATGTTCTTTATTTGAGCTACGAGAAGACTCTATAAACAGAGAAAATGCTATGCAATAAAACAATCCCACTAACATGGAATGTTGCGAATGAAAGAATCAAGACACAATTGACCGAATTCCATCCTCAAAAGTGGAAGAACTGTGGATCATAATATGTCGCTGCTATTACCAATTTTAAACAAGAATGAAGGGTTCCAGAAATTAAATACATTGTTGCTTCCACCTCTCTGAGGTTCCACAGCAGCAAAGGCAGCTGTTATCGTCATTAACTGCTTCATTATCAATTGTCCATGGCGCATATGGGAAGGACAGTGTTGACAACAAAAACATCTCGTTGGTGGCGTGTCATAAAGCACAATTTCCGAAACTACAAAATTTCCCTAGCACCCTCAAATGACAGTTGTCATCGACCAAACACACCAAAGATGCATCTTCCCGTCGGCTTGAAGACAAAGAATGATAAAATGGTAACTCGATAAGTATAACCCAAATATACACAACAGAGCTAAATTGATTGATGTTCGAAGGAAAATTTATTCATTTGGATCTAATCGGTGAGCGCAAACAATCCACCAAGTTAAAACGGCAGGATCAACAGTTTGACGGCTAATGGATGAATTAACCACAGGCCAACGGCAATGTACTAATAAACACTCAGTTGTGAAAAAGGAAACTTAAGTAAAAACCGAGGGTAAGGCTGAAAACTAATCGCCATACTAAAAAGGCGAGGGAATATTGACAGAAAATCGGCAATGACAATGAGAATTAGAAAGAGGAGGTCCCAAGTTACTTTTGTGTCTACCGAAACTTCCGGCTCCAATTATGCATTAGCTTAAAAATCCACAAACACAAAAAAAAACCGAATGGGAATTACGCACCCGGCTCGTGAGATGGGTGAACCGAAGGGTCCGAAACAGTGCCTGTAGCATTTTCAACGGGAGCACCAAGAGTAGGAGGAAAGAATTGAAGACCTATAGAGACTATCATAAGAATAATATAAATAAACTTACATCCAGCTATGATTTCTAGATTAGTTAATTTCTCCTTGAGAGCGTCAATTTCTCCCTTGAGCTGAACATTGTTTTCGGCATAAAACATTTCGCCGCGTTTAATTGAGCTTTCATCGGAATTGGCAAGGAGTTCAATTTTTTCCTTGACCACTGCAGTAAGTTGGTCGACAGACATTCTCAGCTGTGGGAAATAAAGACTCGAGGTTCTCAAATGCCGAAGCGCGCCTAGTCCCACTAAACTACTTAAGTCTAAAAATGTGTGCTAAACGAGCCACTCACTGCGTTTTTCGAAAAGCAATATTACGCTTAATCACTGCATTTGAAGCAACAATTATCAGACCCAAATGACAACTAGACAAATGACAGCAGCGAGTTATAACTTCACTCCTTAAGTAATAGGTATACGAACGAATCGAACATCTACTAGCATAACTAAAAAAACCAACATTAAATGACTACCAAGACCCAGAAAGAAATATAGGACACCGACCCGCAAAACGTCACACCGCGCCAATTATTTGCTGCACTTGTGCCAGTGGTGACCTTATTAAACAAATTGCAAAACACTCACACGTTTTTGTCTTTTTACACTAGGGATTATTTATATTTAATTTTAAATTTTTTGGTCAAGATTTACCCAAGTGAAAATGGCGGCTCATTCGAACTGGGGTTGTGGTGTAAGTTCTAAAAGCTTGACTCATGCGGTCCTCGTTTACAAGTTCCTTACCGAAGCTGTCTAAAAGCATGTGCATGGCTGAATCAGCTATCTTTAAAAGATAGTCTTGCTGCGTAGATCAAGTACCACAACACTTGACGTATTCTGGCAGTTGTGTGGCGAAAATAATATCTTGGTTTCCTTCGTAGGTCTCTTTCCGCTATATTACTGGGACCATGAAACCACTTAGAATACTTATCACAGCGCTGGGTAAATATGGTTGTCGTAGCTCCGTGTGGGCTGCACAATACCATAGAAATTTCTGCCGATCCATTCCGTCATTTACCCCCAATTCCCCTTTGGGTGGATCCATGGGTACCCTGTCTTCTGTTGAAAAAACACTCCACTCAACAAACATTCCACCGGATGAACTAGTGGCATATATCACTAGTGTAAGTGTCTTTTGCTCCATGGGATTAATTCCAATTGGCTTGTAGGAACGTCGTAGCTTGGATCAGCTACTCAGTATTGATATTCGAGAATTTCCTTGTGAATTGCGTCTCACATGTTTGGAGGCTGTCCTTCAAACGGCACTTTTTACTCTTTCTTATTCCTTTACCTTCGATCGATATACTCTGGCAGTTGCTAGCAGTCTCGGTATTGAGTCTTCGTCCACAGCTGTCCTCGCCTTTCTCCCGCCTTTCACAGCGTTTCCCCCTGATTCTGCGTGGCTGTCCGACCCTCGCTTTCATCTCCTCTTGCTTAGCACCGTTGCTGGGGCTCGAAATCTTTCGCGTCCACGCATCCTCGTCCTAGCTGCTTGTCTTCGGCAGCTTCCTATAAACGCAAACGCGAAATCACTTTCTTCTGTTCTTCGTCTCATCACTCATCTTATTAACGAATGCAGTGTCTCTGAGCTTGTTTACATCTCCGCTCTTTTGCGCGACCTTCCGCGCAAGCCCTCGGATAGTTCCGCTAGTTCCTCTCTCCTTGGTACTGAGGCTGATCTTCTTAGAGACGCTTTTCGTCATCATATAATTTCTCGATTACCTGAAGTGGAAACCTTAGATCTTCTTGCCCTTCTTCGACTGGCCCACGACTTTGGCCCGGATTTGGTCTCTAGTCGAATGGACGCAAATCGATTCAGTGCATCACTAGAAACCGTGATTTCGACCAGGCTAAAGGAGCAGAACCTTTTCACGTTGTGCCTCCTCTGTTCGGCTTTGCAAAGAATGCAGACTTTCCGGCCGGGTCTCATTCGCAGATGCCTGGGTCAAATTCGCCGCAAGCTGCATTTGACCTTGCACTATCCTTCAACAGATCAATGTGGGTGGTTAGCTGGTGCACTTGCGGCATTAGCCAATCTGGGAGTAGGCAATTTGGATTTGCAACCAGTAAAATCCACATTTTCTGCTGACCAGTACTCTCTGCTACCTTGTGAAACGAGTCTCTTTAGTCCAAATGCTCAGCATTCTGTGCCAGTTAGATTCTCATCCGGCCTTGATATCCATTCATTGTTTACTTCCGATTGGGTACGTCAGCTTTTCTTTGACGTTGCTGATTATGTGTTTGGACGTGTAAATTCGGGCAATTGTGATGCCGAGTCGGCTACACGAACCATGTTGGCTCTGCTCTTACTTGGCGTACGCCATGAAAAGCTCCTTAGTCAACAAAAACCGATCATCAAATCATTTGCCGACTTGCTCATTAGCCAGCCAAGTGTTTTGCTCCCGGCCAAAGAACTGTCGGCCTTTGAAGCCACTGCGCCTTACCCTCCGCCTGAATCTCGTTAGTTATGTTTTGCGCTAAAAGTTTCTATAGTTTGTCTGATTTAACTAATCAAGCTTCATTATTACAGTCGCTTTGGTACAACACTTGCCTCGGGTGGACTGGCAGCTTTACTATGAGTTGCCTGTCATTGTAAAGGACAAAAGATTTTCTCAACTAACACTGAGGCAGTGTGAACTGCTTCGAGACTATGTGATTATGAAAAAAGCATCTGTGGAGGAGTATATAACCCATTTGCAGGAGCGGGTCAGTGCTGTGCCTGGGGTCGAGATACTGCCCTTCCATGTGCTTGAAACTCAGTTGGGGGATCAGCTTTTTTCTGGTATGTTCTACTATTGTTAATTACTTCTCGAAGGCCTTAAATTACCATTGTCTTGATGACCTCATAATTTTACTTTATGCATCTTATTTTAGACTTTGTTGTCCGTAAGGTGTCAGCATTGGATCCAGGTTTGTTGTGCGTCTGAACTTCCTTTGGAACGAATTTGGAGCTCATAGTTAACGACATTTTTTTTATTTAGCCGTCTCAAAGTATGCGCTGTGTTTTCTGCTCCGGAAACGTGATGATTTGGTATTCCAACCCTTCACTTCGCTTCTGGTGTCGTATAAAACCGTTACTTCAATTCCTGTTGTTCCGGTATGTTTCAGCTTTTTAGTTTGACTGGAGTGTTTGTGCTAGTAATAAGCTCCATGACTGAGTTCCTCCGTTTTGTGGGAGGACGATGGTTTGGGGATTAAGTCAAAGTCACCCACTAAAAAGGATAGTGGAAAGGGACGGATAGAATGTCTCGCTAACTCGCTTCTAATGATCGTCAAGAGGTCTGCTATGGATTTCCGTCTGGAGAAGGGGACTTCTGAGCAGGATGGAATACAAAAGGGCTGTAGAAAGGATTTGGGATGGAAGTTGGACTTAATCGCCTTGGGATGGATTCATTTTTGTTTGTACTACTTTAGATCATCTACTGCGACTGGTTATCAGCACAAGAAAGCAATACTCGTCGTGATGCCTTCCTAAAGAGCCTGGCCTTGCGCTTAGCCGAGGGTTCTGGAGTTCCAACCGGTGCCACGAAGGTTCGACCTCTTAGAGAACTGGTAAACTTTGATCAGTTACTCGTAAACACTGAGTGAAATGTCATTTTAGTTCATTATCCTGTTATCCTCCATTTAATAATTAAAAGACTATTTTTACTGTTGATGTTGATTTAATCTCGCAATCAAACCACCTAATTTTGAAGTAATTGCTTAGAGTCAAAGGCCATTGTTTTGAAAAAGGGCTTGACAAGTTTTCCCCTTGGAAATGGTGCGTGAATCGAAGATCAGAAGGGATTGTGGCCCTTCAGGTCTTGATTCCTTGAGGGTTCTTTACATAGGGCAACAAGTACATCGACTAAGGTGAACTGGAGGAACGAACCATAAGACTGATTTTAAAGCCTAGAGGAGAATTGAATGTGGTAATGCAGGGTGTCCATTGTGAGCAACTACTAGATTTTACTTTTGCACACATCACGAGACGGAGTGTGACGAGATGGTGTCCATTGTGTCTCATACGAATTTGGAGGTGAAGATATGGAATCGCCTTTACAATTGAGAGGTGAACTGACCGAAAATCCACGAGGCGCATAAATAAAAGGCGAAGTGGGAGGAAGATTTGGTGTATCTATTGAGCTGCCAAAACAAATCGTGTCTGGTGGAAGGCATGACTTGCTTCTTCTAGTTATAGAGCAATGCTACATTCGTATGTCAGTAGTAGGCAAAACTTTAATTGTTCTACTTATTATTTTCAATATTTGGGGGTTCTTGGGAACGGACTGGGCGAATTTGAAGAAGACGAAGTGGTGCAAGACACCATCCAAAAACAAGTTATGAGGCTCAATCGTGGTGGTAAAATCGGCTATTAGTGTCGCATTATTTTTGCAGGGCTCCCCATCCTTAATCAAGGTAGAGGTTAATGATAAATTTAGGGTAGACAACTAACCTACTATTAAAATATTAAATAAAAATTACCATAGTTATTGAGGTTATTAACTTACGGGTACATTAATAGGCCAAAGAGAGTGGAATTTAGAGGTTGTGACCCCAAATGGGTCGAGCTCTCTTGCGTCCCAGCACGTAATCTGCTAATTAGGTTTAAATTCCCGCACTTATGAGTATGTACTGCTGGGTTCATTGAAAATGCGAATGCATAAGATGCTATGAGTATCTTAATCTGTGAGACGCGTAGCGCATTATCTTGAGGGTTACTCTGTAATGCTTTACTTGTGCAACTACGTTATCCTTGGCGGTCACCTCAGGAGTTGTCTGGTCCTTGTACTCGTGGGCTGGTTCTCGAGCCGTGCTTAGGTCCGATCACTTTTTCCTATTTGCACTACATGCATCCACCCTCACTCACTGTCTTCGTTTACCCTGTGGGGCGTCTCTTGAAGCTACAGCGGCATTCAAGGCTTAGTCAAACGAAATCAGAAATCCCAACAACCCAGATCGTGGGCTTAAATTAGCCGCCAACTAAACCAGTGAGGATACTGGCACACTTCAAGACAACGGAACTAGATTTTTTGGTGTTGTTTTATGGATATGGAGTGCAACTTTGTTTTGTTGTCTTAAAACTTTGATAGGCATGGATGCAAAGTTTCGAGTTAACCAAAATCTGTGTAAAATATGGCTTTCATTTGTGATGCACGCCTTGCACTTGCCTGTGTTGGATTTCGCCTCTTTTACTCTGCTGCCCGCCCTTGGAAAGAGAATTCCGTGGCACAGAATTTAAGTGCGTGCACATCAAAGAGACGAACCTCTAAATTCTACACTAAAGGATTCTTTAGAAAACAGTTTATATTTTGCATCTGCTACATCCTAGTTTTCCACATACAAGTTATTAACAATCAGGAATTCTCTTCATCGCATTTACGTATGAGTGTTGGCGATGATACTCCACTGAGCCAACTTCCACATGGATCTGTGTTTAGTTCCATTTTCTCTGTTACATATTCAGGCGAATGAGCCTTGAAACCCGACCATGCGCACCTGCAAATTTAACGCCAAGGTAGCTGCAGACGAGACCATGTAAAATCCCTCAGTCTTGTATGAGTTAATGGCTGATGCGGCTGCCTCGGTTGTGTGTCCTTGTGGCAGAGAATACGTCGTGATGGCAGAATCAGGAGGCGTGTCGAGTTGAGCGTCAAGCTCGTAGATCAAAAGTGGAGTGAAACAACGCAAAGCCTCGCAAAAATCAACTAGCGATTTGACTGGCGTTCGCTTTGATTCTCATCTTGCTGTCCCGTAGGCCGACCGAAAGCTAAACCGCTTACCCTCCTATCCTAATTTCAGCATTTTAACCCTTTCCTAACATGAAGTCTCAAGCTGTTGCAGCGTGGCTTTTCCATTTCAAATCGAGCCAAAATATGCCAACGACAACTGACCGCTATACCGAGTAGCTGCTATCGGTAAATCGCGTCTAGGTTATGAGTTTATCGAGCCTTTGGAAGTCCAACAGCATGTTTACCACTTCGTCCTCTCCATTTTCACATTATCTTGAAGTCCACTTTCGAAATGAGTGGGCGAGTGGGTGGACAATTTAAACACCGCTGTATGATAAACAAAACTGTCAGACGATTACTTAAATCATGTCACTGCAGTCTCCATTAGCGAAGCACGCAACCACACGGCGCAACAGTCAGGTGAGTTGACACTACCCAAGACATTGCACATTTTGGTAGTTTTATTCGACAAACGGTCCATTAACACTTAACTGCAAGGAATCCGACACTGAGGCTCTCTTAAATGTTATCGGGCAGAGCTGTAATTCACGGTTTTTAGGGTTAAAACAAGAATCTACTACCCGTTGTAGAAGTAATCAGGATTTTTGACCATGGTGGACACAGACATGACGTGGAGCTGCTTTAAGCCTTCCATGCGTACGTGACGCTCGTATGATATCTAAGGGACGGGGAGCGAGAACGAGGCTATACGATAGCTTTACAACAGCACCATTTATGCCTCCTCTCCCTCTCTCCCGGACACCTCTGACTAAGTCGTATAGCCAGGCTTTTGATTAAAAACACAGAGAGAAATTGGGAACTAAAGGACTCAAAGTTATGGGGTGGCAGGGTGAAATTAGGCTACAAATTTCTAAACTGGGACATTATTTCGCATTTAATTTTGCTCTTTTTTCTTACTTGTGCTACTAATGTCAAGTGGTCTTTTAAATATTGTAGGACCTACGACTTCGCAGGAAGTTTATGCAATTAAAAATAAATTTTGACAACCAATGAACCACAGCATTCAAATCACAATTATCTGGTCGCTGATATTTTTGTTAGTAGTATCTGCACAATCATGTGATGACGACGTTCAAGTTTTCATCGAGGAGGAACACCACGAAGGTAGTCCTCTTTTTCCCTATAATTTGCCAAAAAAACCACATCGCACACAGTAATTAACTATTTTTGAATTAAAATTAATTTTTCACAAACGCAGAATATGGAAAAAGGTGAAATTTTAAGTGAAACCAATTAACAAATCTACATTTTAGTTATTTTACACTGGGTGAACGCCCTAGAGGGAAAAGGATGGCCAAAAGCAGATTTGGTAAGTTTTAAACACACCAAATTGCATGACAATCGTAAGCTGAACAGAGTTTTTAACTTCCTATTTTGCGCCTCCTTCTGTGGAAATGTAGCCATCACTAAAAGCGACCATTTTGGGCATTTTTTTGGAAACTTGAAAAAATTGCGTCCTTTAAACTAAAAGGCGGCAGAGTTTCCCCCTACAAAAGTTTCATCAAAAGTAAATTTTTGTCGATTTTCTACAATAGACTTAACTGTCCTAATCATTGTTTATGCAATAGTTGGTTTACCTGGTGTAAGGTATCTTGAAAAGCTACTTTTGCAGAACCTTTTGGTGGTGGAGGGAGTAGTCCCAGTCTCCGCCATCAGGTCGACATTAGTTTACTGCACACAAAGGACTCTAAGCCTCCCAAGCCGCCGCTAAAGTGATGCCACGTTTTGCCTCGCCTCAACTATTCTGTTCACCAGATCCACATCGATGGACACACTGACATGGATTATCCCGAACTTGTGGACGGTCTACCGGTTGGAGATGTGCCAAACTCTCCAAGTCAGATTGCTGCAATGATGCAACGCAACGATCAATTCATTCAAGTGGGTTTTTAAGGGAACCTCGATATTAACATTAGTTTATACTTACTCAGGGCAAAACTACTGCACCGAGGGTGTGCCACGTACTCCACTTTCTACATTTTTGTCCTTTGCAAACACGACTAAAAGGTATGCCGTGAATGGAGCGCATAAATTGTATGAATGTGTAGAGCCTCTACAGTTAACTAAGGCCTAAATCGAATGCCTTAACAACGTCGGTTCTGTTGTCTTCTAGTTAAGCTCCTTCTTTGTCGAATGCAGACCTAGACTAGGAGCTGAATACTTGCCTTAAAAAAATTTTACGTTGTTTACAATTGAATCGTTGGCAGTTGCGAGTTCTGGGAGGGGAAGTAGTACCAAAGAAGAACGCATTTGAGTGTGGGTGCAAGAGGGGCTGCATTAATCCTTCTCCCCACGTAGAATCCATTTCTCGTATCCGCGTTTTCCTACAGTCTACTTGGAACGAGAATGCTGAGCATTATTAAACCATGCTTGTCGGTTCATGTTATTTCTTGTCCAATATCTGAATATCACTTAACTGTTTTTGCATGATCACTACTATTCTGTTTCGATTATCCAAAAGATACATTACACTCTACTTAAATTAAAAAAGTACAAAATATAAACGTTAATAATTTTTGCATTTTATCAGGCGGCCATTGTGAGCAATTTGCTTCGCTCCGTCTACATCATTCTTCCCACCTGGACTTCCAACCAAAGTGTCGCCTACAACGCTTCGATTGGACAAACCTCCCAAAATTTTACAGGCAAGCATCAACTCTGCCTCTGCTTCAATGATCACACCGTGAAAGAAAATGAAACTTGCCAAACACGAGGTCTGGAACTTGAGGACATGGAACTGCGAATCTCGCCTTACCTCTGTACACCTAGATTTTCCTCATACCGTCATGTAGAATTAACTTCATACAGTGCTGCTAGAGGATTGCTTCGACGAATGCTTCACTCGGAGGATTCGGCTGCACTGATAGTTGACATAGACGAAGATTTCTTTGGAGTTCAACTTCCAGCTTCGAGCCTTTTACAGAATGATTGGGAGCTGATCGATCTTTATGAAATATCCAACGCACTTCATAATATTCTTTGCCCTCCCGATGGTCTGACCGGAGCCGAAGAACTTGCAATTGATTCGTGGTTTCAGCAAACCATCAAAGCATTCGCCATGGCCAGATGCTTCAGCTCTACTGTATGCCTACACCTATACTATAACTCCACTCTCCCACTCTCCTGTCGAGATGAAATCACTAGAGCTGCGTATACACTGAACACACGCTGGAGATGTCGCAATATGGACAAAGTAATCTTTTTTTTAGAGCGTCTGGCAGTTTTGCTTTCTTATCAGACAGAAAAGGCGATGAAATCGCTATCAGAGACCGGAATATGTTTGGAATCTGCCAGCAGAACCTTCGGAACGGAACCACAAATAAGTCTATGTATTGGCCACAATCTTCCAGGCGCTTCCATTGTCCCTGAGTTTGTCCCATCCTACACAAATATCGTTGAGTTGGCGAAAAATTTGACTCGGATCCTAAATGCTACCTTGCCCAGAAAACCAACTGTAATCACAATTGCCAGGTCTGCTCGGGATGGTTATGTGGTGCGAAAACTTCAACCACTAATCGAATTGGCCACAAAAATGGTGCTAAAACGTGTCTTTAATCTCACAGACACAAATTTTCACTACTCAGAGTACTTGGCCGGCGGCAAGTCTGGTTGGATAAACCGCTACCGCAAATCAGTCAATGGATGACATTCGTGTCCATTTACTCACCAGACTTTGTGCAAATTTTTCATGCATGCGTTTAAAATTCAAGTGCTATTAAATGTGATAGCACTTTAAATTTACATTATCAATATCTACTTTTATATTAACAAGTTTTGTTTTTATTTATCACAATAGACGCTAAAGTTAGTGATGATTTAAAGTTGGGAGAAGTGCGATTTCAACTTAACTGAATGCACTTAAGATTTTTTATGGCGGTGTAACACTCTGAGGCCTTGAAATAGGGATAGAAGGCATTAATTTGAGAAGGAAAAGATGCTGGGTTCTGGCATGGCTAGAAGAACATCCTCCCTTGCAACCCAGAGGAAGATGAGCACCAAAGTGACAGACAGTAGAATGAACAAGGTGTTGCAGTTGATGTCCTTCATGCTCCTCAACAGCACTGTCTCCTCCTCAGCCGTTGATTAGCGCAACTACCACCTGGCCACACATCTGTGAGGTCGTTCTTTTGGTAAAATCAAACTGTGACGCCTATTTAATTTTTGTCTTTTGTGGTTTTTTCGTCGATACAATGCTTAGAATCTACTCCTCTTACCTTCCACTTTAATGATTTTTGGTTGTCCATCGAACCTCCGTGCAGGTAGATGGAGGGAATGAGGTGCATTTATTTTTAATTGCAACGCTTTGCCACAAGTATCGAAGTTGGCTAAACTGAAACCGAAGCACAGGCTTGAGCCCTTCAAAGCAGACATTTTACAAAAGACATTGTAGATACAAACAGCTTAAATACTACTTAAATAAGTCTGCACGTCAAGATCAGCATTGTCACTGGCAAAGGCCGGAAGCAGTTACAACTGACACTTGCATAAAAGGTGTCGAGTTTTTTTTTGAGCGAAAATGGTGGTGACGCAGTTAAAGTTTGGGTTAAAGAACTTGGGCTTTGGATAATGTGATGTGAGGATTTTACGCTTGGTCGAAGTTTGTACAGCCGATATTTGTTGTCTCCACTCATGCGTAATTGGTGTTGTTTTGAATTCGAGAACAGATAAAACAAAAAAGTCAGTCAAAGTGGACTTGTTTAAACAATTCGAAATAGGAGGCGGATTTCCGGCCACAATCACTGAGTTTTTATTTCTCAATTCGCAAGTTAGCATTTCTGTGCTTTTCACCCTTCAATTCACCCTAAACTGGTGCATTTAAGGGAAATTTATTTGCCTTCACTAGTACTCATCCCATCTGACTTTACCAAAAGGATGCGCAAGAGATATGTTTTTCGTTGGCATTGCCGCTCAACTGCACCGTGATTTCCACTTGACACACTGACATTCAACTCACTTCATTAAGTTGATTTTATCCCTCTTCCCGGGATGAATCGGGACAAATTGTGGTCGTGGGGATTAAAGCAGAACGAGGAGTTGCGAATGCGCAGTGGTAGGAGGAAATGTAAAGCTTCAGCCCGGATTTTACTCCACGTAAAAAGGTGCACTTCTTTTTAAGTTCATGCATCTGTCTGTGCTCATAAGTGTGCCATTTTTATCAACGTGGTAGAGAGTTTTTGGCAGAATTGACGCCTTGTTTCAGAGGGATTGGGAAGAGGTTGGGATTCGGCATTTCTCGCTCGTATGTCCACGCAAGCAAGGGTAAGATGAGCCCCAAAGTGACCACCAGTCGTGCAGGCAGTCATATAAACAAGACACTCCATTGTCCTACTCTTCTTTTGGACTACTTTTCCAACATTCTCCTGGCCACCGCTCCCACGCCACAACGTATTCGGTGTTGCTGGACTGCATTCACAAGCCAAACACAGCAATCATTAGCTCCACTGAGGCTAAGAGAGTGCACTTGGCTCGCACCTCACCTTTCAAACGAGGGGATTTCTTAGTAACGTTCGGCCTAAAATAGTGGTAAAAGGTGGCTAAAACTCCTGTTGAGCCTCGATTGTGTCCGCTGTCACCCATTAGAGCAGTGGTTGGAAAGAATTGGGAGCAAACACAAATCTGTGGGGAACTCTTAAAAAGCATAACCAACTTTCCCAAATCCGATCACAGCAATGTCACTGCAGTTCTTATCATCTTGCCTGTGGAACACAGGAATGAGGCGAATGCCTGCAGTGGTGAAGTTGAAGCCTCGCCCACACAATGCATATGCGTTGAAAAAACATGCTGTAGAAGTTTGCCGCAAACGGCTGGACAGCCGAAAAGACGTGGCAGAGGAGTTGAGTTGGCTTTTGGCTGTAACAAAGACGTCGCATCTGACATTCGTTTTCAGTGAGACGCGGGACTTTGGTGTGCCGCTCAGAAACCAATCCACGCCTTTGACCACCAAAGCTACCGCCGGTCTCACAGGCAGTCGGACAAATAAAGCATTTGAGTTTTAATTTTTTGCAAAACAATTCGCAAGTCTCTCCAAGTGTTGACTAGTTTGCCGACCCAAATGCCTCAAGCAGGGAATGCTTAACTCCTCCATGAATAATGCCTTCATTCGTAAAGTGCTTTTAATTGGATGCCTTCAAAAGTGGCGATCAAACTCATGATGCGATGTGGAAGGAGCAATTGAAGCAATGCGTGTCCAAAAAGCTTACACAATAATGCACAAATTCTCGGGTTTAGATTAGGTGGATTCGGTTCATTTGTATACGAGAGCAAAAAGTTTTAGACTTATTTTAGTCCATTTCTGGCGGTATACTTTTACTTTACGTTAACAGTGTTGTGATAGACGCAGTGGAAGATGAATGCCTCGTTTATTAGAGCTTCCCTCGCTCTTAGCTGGTATGGACAGACCAAGCCAGTGCCTCACAATCTCTGCTTCTCTCTGAAATACAAGTTTTCAGTTCCACTTAACGCCTTCTACTACGTAATGTGAAGGCCCAAGAGGGTACTAGGATATCATTTGCTTTACCAGGCAGGAAAGTTAGAGCAACCAAGAAACTATGCCGTTGTTAATCATTTTCAGTTACTCAAATCCCTCCACCTCTGAGCATTTGGATCCAACGCCTAACGCCCAAACTCCGCAATCAAGGAGGCGGCTCAAATAATGCATCAATGGTCGATCAAAGAACGCCCATTTCTTCATAATTCGTACTCCTTAAAATTTAACTCCACTTCATAGGGAATGTAATGCCTCGTTTAGATGACTACCTGACGTTAGGGAGCCACTTTAGGACTTGTCTGGCGCTTGTACACGTGGGCTGGCCTCTGGGCCATGCTCAGGCCCATTTGCTCCGTCCTCTTCGGAATACATGCAACCAACTTTACTTACTGCCTTCTTCTACTCTATGGGAATTCTGGGGACACTGCAGGGAACTTAACTCATATCCATTATTGACATATGCCGAGCGATGCGAAGTACTTCAATAAATAAGTGCTACTTTGATACCCATCTTATTGTTGCAAAGTTGTGAGCCTCTTGTTCGAATTTTCCACCTGAATCACGTTGGTCATTAAAATGCTTGGGAAGGGAGGAGGGGGAGTTGGGGAGAGGCGGTGACTCAATAATTGGCCCATGCATTACTTTTAATTGCTGCTTTTGGTGAGGACATTAATTAGGCAAATTTTATGGCTTTTGTGTTAAGTTTTAAGTCGATGCATGACTAATCGATGTGCACGATAAAAAACCATTTCAAGTAGTAAGAAATGCATCCCTCTGGCCATACATTAACAGTGAAATTATTCATCACTCGTCCGATTTGCGCAATTATAACCTGACGATGAGCTTAAGGTCGCCACCTCATTGGTTGGTTCGCGTGCGCGTGCGTGTGCTTGCGGGTGTGGGAAGAGTGATGGTGGTATAGAGCTATTGGGTGTGTATATGATGCTTTGGCATGCAGAAGGAGGGGAAGAGAAAGGTTGGGATAAGTAGGTGAAGAATAAGGTGCGTATGTAAACTTGTAAGTGAATGGGTAAACAGCAGCAGCACCCGCAAACTAAAGGCATTCGTTTACTTCATTAGGCTACTTAAAAACAAATGTCCGAGCCAATTATGGAAGAAAGTGAGGTAAACGAGGGTCTACACCGCTACAATGGAACTGTATTAAATAACATTCAGTTTAGAATCTCTACGAGACTTTAGATGGGTCGGTCTCGCTTCTTTGCGCGTACTCTTACTATTGCTTCACTATCATTTTCACTATTTGCATTAGTTTTAGCAAAGGAGGCATCAGTAGGGAAGAAGTATATGCCACCTAGATCGAATAAGTCATGATCCCGCAGATAAAATCTACAGTGAAGGAGTGAAGCATTGAATGTCTCTGCTGTCCCAGAGATTTAATTGACCTGGAAATTATTGGCATGAGTCAAAATGCGTTGAAAGAATCTACCGAAACATCAAAGATGATCGGTTTACTTCAAGGTGTGCCCAAATAGACGCCTCATGCCCTGTATTTTCTCCCGCATGAATCTAAAAAATCAAATTCAGTAGCCTAATCACACTTTTATGGAACTAATAACCCAGGAGATTGTTAAGTGGAAAAGAGATCTCTTCTGTGAGTTTTGGGGACAAAGACCTGCTAGGTCAGTTAAGTTCGAATATTTTTATTTCGAAGGAATGAAACTTCAACTACAAGTGAAGTGGCAACTACGTAGCTACATGTGTTTACTTCTCCTGATAATCAAGAGTTGGGGCTACAATGCCAGAAAACACGCAAACAACGATATGTTCCTGCACGGACAGTTAGTATTTGCAATTGTGTGTGAATGGGAAATCTTTTTACATTAGACAAGTCGATATACAGTCAAAGAGGAGGAAGATGTGATCATGATGTCACAGCCCGTGAGTCTTGCAAACGAGGTGACCCAGCATTGGTAAATTTAGGGGCAACGTTTGTTGCGTTGACGATGAGCAACACACCCAACCAACCAATTAAAATCCGAGATCAGTCTGCGTCATCTTCCCACCTTACAGCTCCACTCAGGTGGCAGCACTTTTACAATTCCAAGTGTAAGAATTTCTCCTGCCCAATATACTATTCCTATTGTAAAAAAAATTTGTTGCTTAAGTCAATTAAAGGCAGGAAGTAAGGCAATTACCTTGACCCTCGAATCACGAATCAAACATGCACGCGCCAGATGCACAAATCAACACACCAACTGACCAAATGTTGAAATGACTCAACTGGAGCTCAACTGCAAATAAAAAAATACCTCCATTTTTGCAGTCATCAACGTAGCGCTCTTAAAATCCGGATTGAAGTTGATGAAACAAAGGATTGGCTGAAGGCAACAACCCTGGAAGAGATTCCCTAAGGCTTGAGAAGCCACTTCGGGAACACCGTTAGTACAGTTAATGCAAAGACAACTGCATCACCTTCAACAATCAAATTCCACCCTGATTAGTTCAAGCCACATGAGTACAAATGACCACAGCGTACAAGAAACGAGCCATTCACAGACGCGAAACGCACCGCTGATCAGGAAGATCAGCACATTTTGAGGACGTCAACTCTGGACCGCTACTACCGACAGGAGCGCTCTATCAACTCCCAAAATGACTCAACGAGCCAGATTGGAGCCAACCCATACCCGCAACCAAGAACGATAAGAACGAAAGAGAATGAAAAAGAACACTGAGAAAAAAGCATTCGATTATCCTTATTCCAGATGAAATGTTAAATCGTTAGGATGGGTTGACAATGCACTTGTGAAATTTAAGTCTCAGCACAGCTGACAAACAATGAAGCTGAAAAAAAAATTAAGAAAATGAGGTTAAAAAAGACACAAGAGGAAGGACACAGTGGGAGAGATAGAGCAAATAGGAACGCCAATATGGCAATCACTCCATGAAGTTTTCCTTCCTCGCCAACCCACTGACGGGATATTTGCACAAGGAAGTGAGTGGGGAAGACAAAGCGGGAAGGGAGATGTCGAGGGTGGGGAGAAGGGAGAAAATAGGGGAGATTGATCAATGTGTGTTTGCGGGAAGAATGAGAAAAGGACTACCAAAACATACAAAACCGTTTTACCTAGTGTACGCGTTTGATTGTGTGCGAAGACTTAAATGCGAGACGCCAAGACGGTGATTGTCGTGTTTGCTTGTTTTTCGCGTGAATCTGTGTGTGCGTATATGCGTAAACGGGAGACACTACTGATTACAATGGTCTCTCGTATTCATTCTTTTCTCCATGAGAACAAAAGGCAAAACAGGGAGGGAGGTGGTAATGTTAATGCAAGGTAACCAAGTTTGAGGAAGAGGAAAAAAGCAAGGCAAATTTCGCAATATATCGCTCTTCCGAATGACAAGCAGCCGCAGCGTCGACGGGGGTGCAGATTCCAATGATATCGGAGCCCAAAATAAGGCAGGGAAACGGGGAGACATGCAAATGAGTGCACATGCATTTCAAGGCGAACGTATTGTTCCACTTGGAGTCACAAATCGCACACCCACACACAAACTGAGAGGAATAAGACGAAAGGAGAATTGAGTAGAATGGGAGAGCGAGAAGAACGCACACACGCACACACAAGAAGGCGTAGAGAACACGAGGAAATGTCGAATCATTGGCAGGAATCTAGAGCGCATCACACGTCTTTTTGCCTTTTCGCTTCGTGTACAGGGCCGCTCTAGCTGCTGTCTCAAAAACCTCCCGTACACCCTCCTTTGTTTTGGCAGAACATTCGAGGTACGCATAAGCATCTAGAATTCACAAACGTTGATTATTGTAAACGGTAAGCACACAGAAGACGAGCCAAAGCGATATCTTACTTAGCTTCTCGGCCATCAATCTGCAATTTTCCGGTTGTACAATCTCTTGCCGCATTTTCGTAAGTCCGTGGATGGCAACATCATCATCGCGAAGATCACGTTTGTTGCCAACCACCAGAATAGGAACATTTGGACAGAAGTGCTTCACCTCGGGGCACCATTTCTCAGCAAGGTTTTCCAAGCTGTCGGTGCTAAAACAGTTCGTGTACTTTTAAATAACGTTATGACTAACACAATCGGTGAATGATTAGCCAAATTATACAAAACTACAGGAGTGCTAGCGATTAATTATGGGAATTGAAAGACAATTCCAAGCTAGGAGGATTTTCAGAGGCGGCAAAACAAATAGGCGCCAGACAGGGGACTTGCCTAGATGATCAGAACATTTGAAATCTGTAAAGAAAGCGGATAATTTGAAAAGACTGTGAAAATGAAAAACGAGATGCCGTCATGGAAATAATACCCGACCCAAGAAATAGAAAGCGAAAAAAGCATCTGCAAAGCTACTTGCAGCTGAAGATGATAGACTTCACGCTTTACAAAAAAGGGAACAAAAACCCCCAAATCAGAAACACAAGACACAATGCTAACCTGTCGATGGAGAAGCACATTAAGATAACATCAGTGTCCGGGTAAGACAAAGGCCGAAGGCGATCGTAATCCTCTTGCCCAGCCGTATCCCAAAGAGCGAGCTCTACATGTTTACCGTCAACTTCGATATCAGCGACGTAATTTTCGAAGACAGTGGGCACATAGACCTCGGGGAATTGATCTTTACTGAAAACAATGAGGAGACACGTCTTCCCACATGCGCCATCACCGACTATCACCAACTTCTTGCGGATAGTAGCCATTCACAAGTAGAAATTCTATGTAACTTATCCGCTCCAAATCAGCCGCTCACCCATGAATGACCATATGAAAAAACAAACATTCTTCGAGTTAAATTGAACTCCACACGTGCACAGCATTTTGAATATAAATTTTACAGATCTAGATATGTAAAACAGTCAATGCTTTACAGCGTTTCGCAAGAAAGTCATAAAAATTCGTAAGTCAAGAAATTTGGAAGGTCACCTACATTTTGTACTTAGTTCTTGCAGTATTTGTATTTTTAATTCTTTTTAAAAAAAATTCAACCTAAAATTAAATTAGACTTGGTTTTATTACTCTTTGTTGGAAACACATCTTCAGCTGAAGTGCTGCTGAAATTATTTAGATGTTAGTACAGCCACGTGCTGGTGGCAGCCAGATAAAGATTGGAAAAACCTATTTACTTGACTACCTACATTGCTGTCAAACTCTTTTGTATCTATCTTGCTTTGGTATCTACAGACTACCCTGCAGGCCAAGTCAAACTCTCACTTATTCTTCTTTTGACGGTAAATAGGGATTCAACTCTGTAGCATCTCGAAGCTTCTCACAATGGTAGAAGGCATAAGTGAGGTTCAAAACATGTATTCTGAAGACTGCAGGTCAAATGAGGCTTGAGCGTGACTCAAAGTCCTGCCCACATGCACAGGAACCAAACAGATTCCAAAGTGACTGCCAGACGTCAACTGGTCAAATAAATATATGAATGCAAACCCTACTTATTGTTTTTGCTTTTGATATGGAATTCGTCAGGTTCAAACACTGTTATCACTTGTGTGAACTTTAAAAGAGGGTTAGTTTCAGTAGATTTATTATGCATTGCATACAGAAAGAACAGGGATGGGAGTATAAATGAGTTATATGAAGGCAAAGCAATTGCCACTTATGCACGTGGTCAAAATATAAAAGTGCTTTGCAGTAAAAGAAACTTTACCGTTCAAAATTGTCAAATCAACAAGGAAAAAATGGTGCTTTTTCATTCGCACTCTGGCCAATGCTTAGCATTAATATGCGCTTAATCAACCGAAATTTTGTGGTAGAACAAACAGCACAATTTGCAAAATAATCGCTCAGCAAAATTTGCACAAGAGGTGGGCTTTTGTTTGCACAACTGCCAGCACAACTAATGTCCACTTTAGAAGAAGGCGTTAACTGGAACTAATTAAATGTAATCCAGGAAGAAGAAAGGGATTAAGTGTGAGCCTCGGGACGCTACACTGGTGGCAGCGGAAAGCGAACCCGACATATTCTAACGACCTTTTATTCCTAGCACGTACCGTTTTTCGCATGTACCTACGGTGTGCAGGAAGTGATTTACCTCGGTGTTGGGAAAACAACTAAATCCTTCATAACGAAAGGATTTTGACTCACGTCTGCATTCGCTTTCACCTTTTTCTAATATTCCACAAACAAGCTATTAACAATTGAAGCGACACGGCCGTGAACCGGTTTTTTCCTACCAAATCCGTGTTCAGGTGTTTGTAATGACACTACGGTTCTCCTTACACACAGGAAAGTAGCTCATCCCGTTTTCCCTGTAACGTATATTTTATAGACTAGAGTTTTACCGTCTATTCCTGGAAGCAATTGATGGTCAATATGTGTATGCGGCCCGAAATCTGGTCGTCAGACGAAACGTAACTCCAGATCCAATTGAAGCTGCAAGATGCAAAGCCATAAAATAAATTACTCCTAACGAAGGCACGTCTTTTGCGCAAGTAAACATATTTTTAAAAACCATGCACCTATTCGTTCTATTTAATGGAATCATTCAAAGAAATTCATAAGATGAGATCAATAAAAAGATCAACAGCAAACAAGCCGGATATTTTTATTATGCTGAAAATACATTTCGCAATTTATATACAAAAGGATTTGCTGTTAAATACATTATTTATTCTGTGTGTTTTAATTTATCAAAATTACCATCCAAATGGAAGGATACACTTGAATTGGTATTACTTCCACGATAAGTCAAAATTAACCTAACGGTCTATGACAATGTAAGCCATATAAAAGTGCCTTTTTGTTAATTTCAAAGACTGAAAAATACTTTTGTACATGCTTTTTAAAAAACAATCATCAATCTTAGTTTTCACGACGTTAGCATGTGTAGTATCACTAATGTAAATTTTGCAATAAAGTCTGCTTCTTCATATTTTTGCACCTAACTATTGCCCTAATCAAAATGAAAGAAGCTTGTTGAGGTTGCTTTTTTATATTTAATTGGAATAACTACTCATTTTAAAACAAAAGTTATGATCAGCTCTGGTATAATTTAAAACAGACGACTAACAAAATTTTTATAATTCCTTGCAAGTATTTTTTATACTTACAGCATTTAAACTGCGTGCATAAGCGCGATGTAACCTGTAGAAATATTTTTTAAATTGAATTAAAACTAATGCTCTAAGCATGTATTTTAGCTGTTGCTGTCGCATTCTTGATGGGTAAGTCGCGCATTGCGTTCACCTATTTTGATAACAGTTGAATTCAATTTTTCGTTCATCAGATTACAACCCACTTAATGCCTTTGCATTTTAAGAAAAGCGAAATATCCAACAGCGTCTTTACCCACATCTTGCAAAAAATATTCTTGACTTTTTATAAATGGGGGCTAGATGGTTACGAAATTCACAGGAATGCAAAAGCACCCGTATTTTGCTAGGATAAAAAGGTTCACTTTCATGATCCGCTGTATTTCTGCATGACCAGTTAGAGGAAAACAGGACTAATGTGTACAAAGTGGTAGGTGATGAAGGTCACAGCGCAAAAACCTTCTTAATGGTGAAAAGTTCAAAAAATATATACGTATTCATTGTTGAGATAAAGCCCGTATTGACGAAAAGACGTAAAAATTTGCTAAAACCTATAGAAGATACAGATATAGTTGATCAACTGAGTGAAGGCAATCATGCCCCTGTAAATGCGGCATTAATAATGCCATAGACGATGAGCCATGGCCTCTGTCTATCCCCTGTTTCAACGCAGCGACGCCAACTGTTAGGCAACACCTTCTCACACAATTCCGTGCCACCTCTCCTCCACCACGCTTTGCCACTCCTTTCGTCTAGTGCTTGGGAAGGGTGCAAACCACTCAGCCAACTCGACACGCCTCAACTCATGCGTCCACCTCTTCACAAGTGTGCATCCACCACCACTTCCTTCACACATCACCACCACCTATGCGTGTCTCCTGCAGCTCGGTGAGTTGTGGTGCACATGCGTGCATTTCCACTGTCTCCTCCGACTCGCACAAGTTGTAGCGCCTCTTTCAGCAATTGGAGGATGAGGCATCAATACCAACACCTTTTTTGTCACTACTCG